AATTCCTAGAACTTGGACAGCATCAAATTTTTCGCCATGGTGATGTCATCGTTCCCCCCTTTTTTCGCCAGTCCAGATACAGCGAACCTGAATGACCCCAGGCAAGCCGGAATAAGCCTCAAGTTGGCGCCCAATTGGATGAACATTTCCATGAACCAAACTTCAGATCCCGCAGCTTTGGCTTCTGAGAAGTTGTAGTTCGAGGTGGTTCAGCCGCGGTCACCCCCTGTCCTGCAACATCTCAAAGAGAGTTGCGACGGAGGCGGCAGAGTTCGCTGATCTCCGCTGATCTCACGACAACAACAAACACCGGTGAAAATCCTGTTATGAATTGAATGGGATGTTTAGATTGTGACTGGAATTATCTGATATTGCAATTCATGAATTGGCTATGGATCAATACCTATACATACCATTTTTAGGGGGATGAACAACCATTTACCAGCTATTTTGGGGTTCACTAGGTCTCAGGGTTTTGACCCATCCCCATATTGCAATTCATGAATTCATGAACATCCAAAATTTGACCTGTTGAAGCAACACTCGTGAGATTGGCCGGCAACACCCAGAGTCGGCCAGTCGTCTGGCACCTCAGGCAGCCCTCTGAAACAGTGGAGTTCCCGTTGGGTTTCGTAGTTTTCTCACCCAAAAAACACATCTGGCTGGTGTCAAATCCATTTTATGGTCAACATTTTTTTAGGATGATGATTCCCGTTGACAAGGATATTTGTGAATTGGGGTTGAAACCAGCAATCCGACATTGTTTCTGATTTGTTCGTGGTTTGGAGAGTTTCCAATTTGGAAATAAATGACACAAACAAAATGTGTTTCTGATTGTTAATGTCCAATTTTCAGTCGGGCTGAAATCCATGATTTTGCTGGCACTGGATCTGTTTGATCTATACATCTATACTGTAGATCAAAAGTGGTTCTGGGCTTGGGAAAATTTGAATCTTTATGCATTATAGTGACGGACAATCACTTAGAACGTAATTTTTTCCATTTTTTTCGTACTTAGAACGTAGCAAAATTTCATCACTTAGAACGTAGGGAAAATTCATCACTTAGAACGTCAAAAATTCATCACTTAGAACGTAGGGAAAATTCATCACTTAGAACGTCAAAATGGCCGGCAATGCGGCAGGGGGAGTGTTGTGGTTTGGACAAAGCCCTTGGAACTCTATATGTACTGCATGTATGCACTTGTAAACAATTGTCAGCATATGTATGCACACGTATATATATATACACATAGCTTCTTGAAGTGCGTCACCAATACATGTCTATTTGGTCCCTGAGTGGCTTCGCTGAGTGCGGCAACATGATTTCACAAGCCTTTCCACTATCATCAGTGACCTAGACACGTTCTAAGTGTTAAATCCCCGGTACGTTCTAAGTGATGAATCTTGATATTTGGACGTTCTAAGTGTATGGTTTTCGACGTTCTAAGTGCAAGGCTTAGAACGTAAAAAAAGCAGTAATATTCAGATTTTTTTTCCAAAATACGTTCTAAGTGATTGTCCGTCACTATAATGGATACTAGATCAAGATACAGGACCGTTTGAACCAAAGATGTATATAGATCATTATAGATCATCTATTCCTGCACCAAGTTTTAGCCAGTATTGACCTGCATTTAACTAGACACTTTAGATCTAAATGATATAATGTATTTTAATGTAGTAAACCCAAAGATACACCTAGCATCACCTAGCATTTGCGAAGAAAAATTCTTTGGTTTACCACATTGGATGCTGACCCAAATGTTTGGATCCCGGCAGAGGCATCAATCCCAAAGACCCGGCCTGGTAAACGTTTACAGTGTGCGAACTTGAAAATGGTGATAGAAATAGTGGATTTTCCCATTAAAAATGGTGATAGAAATAGTGGATTTTCCCATTAAAAATGGTGATAGAAATAGTGGATTTGCCCATTAAGAATGGTGATAGAAATAGTGGATTTTCCCATTAAACATGGTGATAGAAATAGTGGATTTTCCCATTAAAAATGGTGATAGAAATAGTGGATTTGCCCAGTAAAGAATGGTGATAGAAATAGTGGGTTTTCCCATTAAGAATGGTGATAGAAATAGTGGATTTTCCCATTAAAAATGGTGATAGAAATAGTGGATTTTCCCATTAAAAAGTGTGATAGCAATAGTGGATTGTCCCATTAAAAATGGTGATAGAAATAGTGGGTTTTCCCATTAAGAATGGTGATAGAAATAGTTGATTTTCCCAGTAAAAAATGATGCTAGAAATAGTGGATTTTCCTTTTAAAAATTGTGATAGAAATAGTGGATTTTCCAATTGAATATGGTAATAGAAATAGTGGATTTTCCCATTAAAAATTGTGATAGCAATAGTGGATTGTCCCATTAAAAATTGTGATAGAAATAGTGGATTTTCCCATTAAAAATGGTGATAGAAATAGTGGATTTTCCCATTAAAAATGGTGATAGAAATAGTGGATTTTCCCATTTAAAATGGTGATAGAAATAGTGGATTTTCCCATTAAAAATTGTGGATCGTTCCATAGTTTTTTGTATGTTTACCAGAGGGTAATTAATATATATTTGTTCAGCTTTGTTCTCAATAAAATCATTAATATGTTGGGATTTCATCGACCAAAATTGTATCCCAACTAAAGCACAAACCAAGTTTCCCATGGGGCTTGAAATCCTCGTTTTCGCAAGGCCAAAAACGATTGAAACGTAAATCCCCGCTGACGCTGCGAAGCAGGTACTCTGCTCAAACGCGGTTGCCAGTGCTTTGCCAGGCACAGAACTCTGTACCGAATTATTCTTGAGATACAGCATCCTCCAAAAACTTACAAAATATGTTTCCAGGATGTTACACAGATCATGTTTCCTCCATCAGGTTTCTGACTGTTCAGAACTGTTCTATGTATTTAGGGGGTGCTGTAATTAGTAATTATATAGGTGTCTTGTCAGTGTGTTTCATTTATTGTTAGTTTGTTTTGAATAGAGATATAGAGATACCTATTCAGAAACAATGGGTTTGGAAAATTCTTTCCCATTTCCAAAACAACATCATCAAAAACCACATGCATGTTATACTATATTAAAAAAATTGTTTCTATCTACTATATATCTGGGTAAATTATAACGACCTCACTACGACCTCACTGGAATCATGGTTAGTAAGGGAAATCATCCCCAAATGGCCTTAATTCAGGTTAGTGAAATATTATAATTTACCCAGATATATTATATTTCACGCATTTTTTTTCGATTGGATATGGCTTTGAACATGGGATGTTTTCCCGTAGAAAAGCCAGCCAAACTGGTGGATGAGCTCCGCTGGGCAGCCGTGGGTAGCTGGGAAGTCACCCCCTTTTACACAGCAGGGGATGTTCCAGCTACAACCGGAGGGTAACATAGAAGATTTTTCCACTTTTCCATAGGAAAACCATAGGAAAACCATAGGAAAATGGAGGTTTACCCTCTGGTAAACAGGCACATAACTATGGAAAATCACCATTTTCAATGGGAAAATCCACTATTTCTATGGCCATGTTCAATAGCTATGTAACAAATTACCAGAGGGTAGATGATGTTAGCATAACTGGTTGGTGGTTACCTGGTGGTTTGAACCATGGCTTTTATGACTTTCCATATATTGGAAATAGAAAAAAAAACTGACGAACTCATATTTTTCGGAGGGGTGGCTCAACCACCAACCAGATAATGTTAGCATGTTTTTTTGCCTGAAGAAACTGAAGATGTGGAAATCCTGGAGAAGAAGCCATGGCAACCTGGAAGATGAACATGAGATCATGATTCATATCCGGGGATAACCATCAGCACCGCAAGCGTGGCTATCTCAGACGCCAATGATATATGGTGGGGACCATCCCTTTCCCACTGGTTGGTTGATGTAAAAACTAAGCCACTCATAGCAACTCCATTTTTCCAGCTTCAGTACACAGCCGTCAGCAACTTGACCTCAAAGAATAGCAGTAAAAACCAGGCGTTCGAGGGTTTGAACAAAACATACCAATCATACTACAATGGATGTGATTCTTCTATACATCATAGATCTACATAGATCTACATGTGATTTTTCTATACTACATACATCTACATACTGTTATATACAGCAAAAACTCTATAAAGATTGCCAATCTTTGGGTTGTTTAGATTCGTTTGGGTGAAGCCGCCACGACCGTTCAACATCGCGCAATTTTCGGCTCAGGCTGTTGATGGGAAAATATGCGGAACATGATAGAAATGGGACAATCTGAATGGAAACAGATGGGAAAAACCTGGGAAAATCCCGGAACTCAATGGAGGTTTAGATGGCTGGGAAAATAAGTCACTGTGGATGGGTGTGGAATTAAGCTGACTTATTTTTTATTGTCGCTGTGATACGCTGATATGTTCAAAGATTTTCCGACAAAAGCAAAAATGGGGAGGTAGCATGATTCGAGCACAGAAGATTCTGAGCAAATTCGAGCGACTTCACTGGAATTTGGAATGATGTTTAGGATTGAGGCATCCAAAAAATGGTGTGGTTCAGATTTGTGAACTGAAATATTTTGCAGAGATCTATATATAATTACCTATGGGTTCCAGTGGGTTGCAGTAAAGTTACATGCCTCTTGCTGTGGGTATGTTTGTGGCTCTAGGTTTATGATGAATTGTTCTTCTAGGAATAACTCCATCCAAGGCTTATTTTGGAGCATTTTTTGACCTATTCATGCCAACAAGTATCGACATGTCATCCCCAGGAATGTACACTACTTGGAGAAAAAAACATGTGTGTGTTTGCACAATTTATGGATTTCAGTCTTCAATTTTGTGGAGGTATCCTAATGGTTGCATATTTTGTTTGACTCTTGAAGCAAGTTTATGCTATCATCAACTATCATCAACTATCATCAACTATCATCAACTATCGTCATTATGATCATCATTTCCATCACTATCATTATCAATCATTATCATCATTATATATATCATTAGCTTCACTCCTTTGTGTTACTGCATCACGATTCGTGACCAGTACCCATTCAGAATGGATGCGGATGGCAATCCGACCAGGCGCCAGCACTGGGCAACCGACTGGATGGGTAGAAACTAATGCTTTACTTTTTTGAATGTGTTTCGATATACCCTCTGGTAAACTAACAGTTTGCTATTGAAAATGACCATAGAAATAGTGGATTTTCCCATTGAAAATGGTGATTTTCCATAGTTATGTTAGTTTACCAGAGGGGACTGTAAATGATAGATAACCATAAGCAGCAAAAGGTTATTGTGTGTCGACTGTCAAAGACTGACCATGAATAAAGATGTTTAATATATATTAATATATAATATATAATATATAATATAATATATATAATTTATAATATATAATATATAATATATAATATAATATATATAATTTATAATATATAATATATAATATATAATATATAATGTATAATATATAATATATAGTGTATAATATATAATATATAATGTATAATGTATAATATATAATGTATAATGTATAATATATAATGTATAATGTATAATATATAATATATAATATATAATATATAATATATAATATATAATATATATATAATTTATATATAATATATATATGTTTAATATATATATATATATACGGTATACACCTAGTTTACTAGGGATAATACAAATACCCGTTCGCCAACCACTACAATGGGATGGGACAGGGGTAGTTTTCATGGCTCAAATGAGCCATGGCTCAAATGAGCCATGATCAGCTTCACGTATGCCATGTCGAGAAGAATATCGACAAATTGAGGATATATATATAATATATGATACATGATGATACATGCCCATACTACTGGGTCACATCAGCCCAACAGTAAGTTGATCGCAATACATCCTGGCAGTAGTGGTAGATTCACCAGACACTAATTTTACTCTATTTGACAAGGATTTTTTATCAAGACGCGAAACACATGGATCTCAATGGTCGAAAAAAACGACCTTTTTTCTGGCTTTGGTGTGTGAAAATCATCGACGAGTCCACAGATTTTCCAACAGCCTGTGGGCGTCAGCCTATGGAAAAGCCTCTGGTTGCCTTGAACTTTGTACTGGTTTCCACCCCAACTTTGTAATGGAAAATCCCAACTTTTGGCAGACATCATCAGACATCCGACCCTAGAAAAGAGCTGCACATTTTCGGATAACATACGCTTATTAGGATATAATCATTGAAACAAATGGTTGAGACGGTTGGTTGCAAGTTCCCATGTTGATGTGTTTTTTCCATTGAAGTGTCCATTGACTTCGCTGGTTTCAGGTCCAGATGGGCGGCCGCAAGAGACCAGGTGCTGAAAGGATATCGGACGGAAGATTTGAAGTCACTTGGCTGGGTCAGGGTCATGTACCTCCCATGTATGGTAATGTTTTTTTTTTGAAAAATGATGAACCAAATTTTGGAGTGCAGTACCTACTAAAGCGAGTCTAGTGAAATCTTTGTTGCTTCCCCATGACTCGTTTCTTGTCCAAAGGTTGGCAAATTAAACCTTGGTTTGGCCATAGGATGTCATAGGTGTTTAATTTTAGACAATTTCAGACTAGCCATACATCAGATTATTATTTCATGACGGTTCCCAGCCACTCCCCTTAGATTCTTAGCTTTTTTGGGTAATGGTAATTTATTGTGTTATACGTAACCGTAACCACTAGAAAACTTTTATGGCCATTTCAGGTACCCAAATTGCAAATTTGAGGTACCTACCATATATAAGGCATATGTAAGCGCTAAATTCCAGATGATATGCCCTCGAAATCTGGCTTTGGTACAGTACCTCCATCCTAAGGTCCTGAAAATCCCATTGATATTCCCATCAATCATCGCATAAAAACTAAATTATAGCTGGATCTATGAGATCCCTAGTGGCGATTTGTTCCGCCCGTGATTGATGAAATCCCACTGAATATAATATATATATATATTATATTATATATATAATTATGTTTAATGTGTATATATATATATTATTATTATATAATGAAGTGCATATATATATATATATACATTATATTTTATATAATGATGTGTATATATATATATGGTTTCCATAAACCAACCAGATGTTTTTGTTCGCATCTATGACCAGCCATGGCTCCACGAAACGGTATGGGCAAACATGTTGGGAAGCCATGTTGATATGGGGCTTCACTGGAATCTTACCGCATTGATTAATTCTATCCTTGTATATATATATATCAATATGTATTTACTCGAATTTTATGATTGAAACGGGGTCGGTATATTGATTGATAGTGTTATTATATTGTTATTATACTGTTGTTTTTCATTTTTATATTGCTGAATGATATCTATGTTCTTCATATTGACATCACCAATCAATCTATTGATATTACCAACAAATTGAAATTGCTGGCCCTTGAGACTTGGAGTGATGATCTGCTGGTGCCCGGCCAGTATTCCCGACTGCTTCACTGCTTCAATGCCTGATTACGACATGAAGATTACTCTCTGGTAAACGTTTAGGTAACTATGGAAAATCACCATGTTTACGAGGTAAATCAACTATTTCAATGACCATGTTCAATAGCAAACTGTTAGTTTACCAGAGGCTAGTTCAACATATCAATAAAATCATCATCAATCCTTTCAGAACCAATTGGTTGGTGGTTTGGAACATTTTTCCATTTATTGGGAATGTCATCATCCCAACTGACGAACTCATATTTTTCAGAGGGGTAGGTCAACCACCAACCAGCTATACTATTCCTATGGTTTATACACTTTAATAAACCAACAAACACAAAACTGGGGGGGCACCACTGGGTAGGTAACCACCAAAGGGCAACAATTCTTGATCATCCTGTTTTCGCATCAGCATCCGATCCGAGGAAGTCCTTGGCCTTCAGTTTGTTGGCTGCGTATCATAGCTACGTCTTCTTTGCCGCGGCCCTGAGCATCCTGCTGGGACCATAGCGCAGTCTGGGTAACGGCTGGGGGTCATGGTGATTTAATGGCTGCTTGGTGGTTTGGAACATGAATTTATTTTTCCATAATATATGGGAACAATATGGGAATGTCATCCTTCCCAATTGACGAACTCATATTTTTCAGAGGGGTAGGTCAGCCACCAACCAGATGGTGATTTAATGCGATCTGATAGGATCCTTGTACTTTTCTTGGGGGTCGCACAATAGAGATCTGATAGAATGGGATGCAACCTACCTGGGGCTGCGGGCCTAAGGTGATATACTTCTGGGATTTTAAGCCAAATTGGGATAGACCCTATAGCTATGGTATAAGTGAAGTATGCTGAAACATCGCCACCTTGTTCACCTTGTTCACTGGAACTGTGTCCCCAAGGTTGGGGGTTGATATGGCATATGCCTTGATATTCCCAAGAAATACCGGAAGATTTCAGTTTTTTATCCAGGGTTTATATGAATTTATATGGCTTGGTATGGGTTGATTAATAGTTTTGTGGCCAGGGGTTTGCTGACAAAGCATTTGGAAGGGCGTTCATGTTGTCCATGGGTACAGCTGGCCATCAATTGGAGAACACGTTGCTACAGCTATACGTTGGCATAGTTATGTTGCTAATCCCTGTACAGTACACATATGTACAGTCATAGCCAGAGTACATGCATACAGACAGACATAGAAAATATACATAAGTTTGTATAGATTCGACTCTTTGGCTGATTGGTTCCCGATCATATTCCCGACTATTGGTGTATCCATTTTCGGCCAATGATTCCTGCAAGGTGACGTCCCGGCCCACACAAAAACGAGGGAATGACTGTTATGTATTGTTATATGACTAAGGTTTATGGTGGTTACTGGGGAATTCAAAAGTACAAAGCAACAAACATAACAAACATAACATACAAAACTGTGGGTCACCACCTTGTAGACTTGCAGATTCTGATGTCTTGAGTTCTTCGGTCCTAGACAGGAAGCTGAGCGATTCCGCTGTCCTAATATTTCCTATTCAAAGATGGGGCCATATGGGGCCATTGGAGCTACGATGGAAACAAACATCAAAGCCACTGCGTCTGAGGACCCTCAGCGGCAACTTGATTCTGGCCTGGTTCATCAGCTCCTTGGTATCATAGCATCCATGGGCCGGAAATGAGACCATCCCAGGTCCAAACCACCAGATGGGTCTAGGTTTCTTGCCAGGATTTCTTCCCTGCTAGCGTGCGCATCCCGGTTGGTAATTGATGGAGAAATAATAAATGTTAGAAACATTTATGATCCGTTCTCTCAGCGAATTGCTGAATCAGTGAATCAAAATCATATCCCATTACTTGCTATGAATGCAGTTCAGAATGCACAGTTCTTCACCACTTCGCCCCAGACATCCAACTAGGAAGTGCAGTTCCGCAGTTCCAGTTATAAGTGGATATATAACCATAGATAACCATAGTGGATAGGGGCTTTTTTTTTGAACTTCTGGAGGCTGAGAAGGAACAGGGTTACAGCATGCTGCTGCAGCCATGTCTAACAGATTCTAACATCAACTGCACCCCACTGCACCCCCAAGTGAACAGCTGCGGCCTGTCAGGCTGGTTCCAAGAAGTGCGCAACAGCAATGCGGGGACCTCCGCCTCTTGGCTTCACCATGGCGAAGCTGGCACTGGTTGAGTCATTGGGGCCCCAGCAGAAATGAATGTCGTCCAAGAGTGGGGGGATAGCCCAAAATATCAGGGTTTTTTTATGGAGAAAATGATGATAAACCATCAACTTCGGAGGTACCCTCTGGTAATTTGTTACATAGCTATTGAAAATGGCAATTTATAGTGGATTTTCCCATTGAAAAATGGTGATTTTCCATAGCTATGTTAGTTTACCAGAGGGTAACCCTATTTTCAGAAACACCCTTTTGATGGGCCTATGTACACCATCCTTCATCAGGCTTTGGCAGCTGAAGCCTCCAATTTCCGAGTACCATGATGCAGTTCTCCTTGCTAAAAAGTAATGCCACCCAGTGAAAGGTTTTATTTTGTTTTATGGTGACCCCCTTATCTATGGATATATGTATATATATATATATATGCGACCCCCGCCCAAGACCTACCTTTTGTGTAGCAGATATGTTCCTGAATGCCTTGTCTTCATTCTTATCTGATCACCTATTGTAGCACTGCATCAGGACAGTATCTTGGGCGCATGCGCCTGGACACATCCTGCCCACGTATGTAGCTGCAGCATAGTGCTGTAACATCCATATTTGACATAATGTATTTCATTATATTTAATGTGTTCTTTTTTATGTTTTCAGACATTTTTCATATATCAACACAATTGTTTTCATCTATGATCTGATTCTTGCAAGTCTGCTTTTTCAATATTTTCTACAACATTTGGTATGTTTACTTTACCTTTAGGATTTGCAGCAATATGAATAAAGTAATGGATGGATTGAAGTTGTGTTATCTGTTCTCACAACATCTTACAACAGAGTATATAGAATATTATTTGTTTATCTTTTTTGACGAATACAACTTGTGTAGTGTTTTTGTTTAATAATGACTATTGGTGGAATTCATGTTTACTAAATTGTCTATAGCAATTTGAAACCTTTTAGCTTCTACCAACGCTGAGCTTTGTGCAAGATTAGGTGATATAGTTAGTGCACCTTGAGAAGCCTTTTTGGGGTCTTGAATCTTGAATCCTACCCCCATGGATTCAAGAAGTTTTTTTGGAATCTTGAATCTTGAATCCTACCCCCTTGGATTCAAAAAGTCTTTTTGGGATCTTGAATCTTGAATCCTGCCCGCTTGGATTCAAGAAGTTTTGCTGGGATCTTGAATCCGATGTACTTAGGGAAGGGCAATTTTTGATCACCACAAAATGCATGTTTTTTTTAAGTTCAAAATGTTCAGAAAAACAGTGTAAAGACCACTAAATTTGTTTGAAAGGTGGGTCTTGCGGGGACCTTATATATATTTATTTATTTATTTACATAGCTATATCAACCTATATCTATAATCTATAGTTCTCTATATCTGTTTCGCACCCGAAACCAAAATAGAGAGTGTTTTTACGGACCACACCCTAGCTCATCCCCTTAACTGCAGGGGCGGGGTGGGGTAGTGGCCCGCCTGTCCGCCTAGTGTTGCACCCGGGTATTGAGCCCGGGTTTGACGCATGAGGGATGCGTCTTATCCACTAGACCATACCGGCAGTCCGAAACCCAAATATGATTGAACATCGAATAATCAAATAGATAAAGACAACTCACTCCGATGTTGACAGAGGGTGTTTTTGAAACACCGAGTCAAAAGCCACCCCCATCTCTGTTTCCGGGAGTCTCAAATGAGAAACCAAACCAGCAAGTATGGTTCCCTACCAGTTATATGTATTTATATGTCATATCCATGAAATTGTAGTATCCCAATATATCCAATCCAGTTTCGCAAAGTGATAACGCTTGGGTCAGTCTACTCATCCTTTTGGGGGCGCGCGGGCTCGCAAGAACGGTTCTGAATCTAAGATTCCATGTTTTGACTGGGAAGATATCCTGTGAGTTCCTTTCAAATATATATATATATGTATGTTGTGGTTTCACCCACACTGGTAGCAAGATGATTGCAACAAGCAAATCCCTTTCGATGAACTCCCTGGTCCAAATCAGTAAGCTCCCAAGTTCAATCTGTTTTCCGCTATGGCTCGGCCGCGAGCGCTGTGAAGTCACCTGAAATGGGGCCACCTAAGCCCTCAGCCCTTTTCCTGATGGCTGCCCTGAGCCACTAGTGAAGCATCGGAAGGTCGATGCACAGTCAAGGTTATCCATTGGATTCAACTCATTGAATTTCCCTTCCAAGACAGGTAAGTGGTTACCTCAAGGTTTATCAGGAAAATCACACTCCTAAAAATTATCTATTTTCAAAATAGTCAGCTGAATTTTGAATATGGACAACGGAGCAGGAGTGGTCTTCCCGCAGGGCAAGTCTTGGGCTTTTGGCTCAAAGGTCTCGGGTGCTCTCGGCGGAAACTGCCTTTCAAAACTAATTATTGTGACTTATACAGCTCATCGGCTGACATCAAGCACAAAGCAAAAACATGCAAGGCTGACTCAAAGGAACTATTTTGATTATACCATTGTTGTCGGGTCTTTTTGTCAGCTCTCTGTTTCAGGATCTCATCCACATCATGTAAGATACATTTTCCCCGTTCGAGGAACGATCTAAGCACAGTGGTGTCCATATCTTTGGTAAGAGAGTCTGCCATTTGAGCAGCGCTATGCACCCATTTAATTATGACCCCTTCCTTTAAACGGTCTTTAATGACTAAAGCCTCCAACATCGTTCTATATTCAGAGCATTGGGGAATGGAGGTTTTCTGAAGAAGGTCGAACAGGCTCTTACAGTCCACAACAGCAAATGCTTTGGGAAGTATCTTCAAGGTGTTTTCTGGTTCTTTCCATGCAAGTTGAGGATCAAGTATCCATGCCCAGTGGATGCGTATCCAGCTCAAGGTGTCAAGAGCTCCGGATAAGGCATAGGTCTCTGAAGCCAGCGTGCTTGAAACCACTCTATTGATCTTTTTTGAAAACCAAACTAAAGGGCTCACTTCTGCCGTCTTAACTTGATCTATGCTATCCGTGGTGGCAAGAATCAAACATCCTTTCTGAGAATGGGCTTTTTCACGGGTCGCAAATGCAGCATCTGAAAATGACAAAAATCTCACTTGGTTGGGATCCAAAGGTCTGATCTTGATGGTGGTCTCAGCATGGTTCTTGGCGTCAGCCAACAAGCGATTGCCAGATAGTAGATCTGCTACGGTCGCGCACGTAATCCTAGCTTGCAAAAGGCTAAGCCGGCAGGATAAGTCAGGTCTAGTATTGGAGGCTGCGTACTGCAAACTGCCTATGAGGCCACGTAGATCCTGCAATTCCTGTGGATTGATTGGGGCTTGTGGATTCTTTCGTCTCTCTCTGGTCACATTGATGGGAGGTATATCATTGATATATTCTTTCTGGGAGAGATGAATTTCACCATTGTGTTCTTGATGGATTTGAACTCCAGTGAAAGTGAAGGAACCCTGTCTCTGGCTACCGAATGGATATTTTCGTTCCAAGGCTTGGATGGTCTGATGAAACACTGAGTCTCCACCTCCTATTCCGTCATCTACATGTATGCCTACTATGCCATGTATCTTGGTTTCATTGCTCTTGGAATCACGGCGAGGCAACACGAACAAACATGGATCAAGGGGGGAGATAACAAAACCCAGTGCAAGAAGAGCGTTTTTCAACTCTACATACCACAGCAAAGGAGCATTGATGAGTCCATACGCACCTTTCAAGAGTTCACATACCTCATTGTCCTGAAGTTTCATTTTTAGTCTCAGTTCTGGTGGGGGTTCTACTCCAAGGATTCTGGAATCTTGGCGGCTGCCTCGCAAAAATGCAGTCTTGATATCGAAGGAACGGGCAGTCCATCGATGGCTGGCAATACACTGAAGTGCTAACATTCGGCTGTCCCTTCCTAAGGTCGGAGAGTCGCGAGGAAGGGAGTCGATCAAAGGATCTTCGTATCCCAAAATCACTAGACGCGCTTTTGCCTTACGGCTCATTCCAGTCTCCTTCTGTTCTACTTCGTCAAGTGGTTTCCAGGTGAGGACCCAACGTGATCGGAGCAACTGCCCTTCAGGAATGCGACTTCTCAGAATGCGCTTGACGGTGTCAGTGGCCAACCAAGATTCAAGTTCCTTGTCCTTGGCTTTGTTGAAAAGTTCTTTGTCAGATTGGTTCAAGTCTCGTGTTTTCACCTCGATCTTTTGGCGCTTGGCTTGAGATGCCAAGTACGCTTCTTGGTATTCATATGTTTTTCCCAAACATTTTTGGAAGTCATCAAGTGTAAGGAGTATTTCAGCGTATGTTACAGTGTTATTGGTGATATGTGGTTGTTGATTGGTAGAGAAGTTGATTTGATCTTGGGAAACCTTGAATTTAAAGATGGTCTTTCCAATCCATGGTTCGGGTTGGGGCATCACGGCTTGAACAGAGTTCCTCCAGGCTTCGGTTCTCTGGAAATTGGCTCCTGATTGATATGTACCTACAGTCACACGACTATCATCAAGGTCATTCACATCTACAGGACAATTCCAAGCATCAAATGGACTGAACATTTGAATCCTGAAATTCGGATGATGTCGGATCAACTGTCCATGGCTTATCTCCCAAGTGTCATGTTCAAAATGGCTGGCCACTAAGTCATCGTCAGTCTCTTCAGGGACTGGAACAATGACAGCAGGATCAGTTGTCCCCGGGCTTTCTGCATTGGGAGTCTCAGCATTGGTCTCAGCATTCGGTTGAGATTCAGAATTATTCTCTGGTTCATCATCAGGTTGTGCCACTGATGCGGGTGGTGTCTCTTGTGAAATGGGTATGGCAGCATTTGGTGTGTTATTGATAATTTGGTCAGTGATTATGGGACCATTAGAATTGGTATTCTGTGGTCTTGCGGTGTCTAATGAGGATTGATGGGAAAGTTCATGAAATTGAAAAACTCCGTTACCGCATCGTGCAGGCAGTTGCAACGATTGGCCTTTTTCTTCAGGCGTCAAAGAGTCATTCTCATCCTGAGACAAGCAACGCA